TCCTCGTTCTGCTCCTCCCTCCTTTTCCTCCTCCTCCTCCTCCTCCTCCTTTTCCCTCCTCCTCCTCATCCTCCTCCTTGTCCTCCTCCTCCTCCTCCTCCTCCTCCTCCTCCTCCTCCTCCTCCTCCCCTTCCTCCTCCTCATCGTATTCCTCTTCCCTCGTCCTCCTCCGTTTCCTCCTCGTCCTCCTCTGCCTCCTCTCCCTGACTCATTATTCTTATTATTCTTCTTATTCCTCCTACTCATCCTTTTTCTTGTCATTCTCCTCCTCTTCCTCCTTTTCGCCTCCCCCTTCTCCTCCTACTCCTCCTCTCACCACCTCCTCCTCTTCCGCTGAAGGCGGCGGAAGCAAAGTTGGTCGGCGCCGCAAGCGAAAGGTTGGCGAAAGCTAGCGAGACCATCCAGAATATTGTTATATTTCGACAACTGTTCGCCGGATTGACGTTAGGTACGGGGGCACTGGGGCACCATATGATAAAAAACGATGCGATCGCAGTGTCTTGCGCGCTCTGATTCGTCCTCCCCGCGGGCCCCGAAAGTCGCGCACCAAAGGTCACTCTTGTCTAGGGTCACTCTTACGTGTAGCCGAGTACTGTTTTGGGACTTATGGCTTCTGGAATGGGCAACATAGGGTGTGCAAGCCCAGGAAGTTGGCTGCATACAGCGCGGCTGGCTTAGGCGAGCCCAGGATGCACCTGTAGCCGCATGTGTCTCGTCTGCTCCGTCCTGTTGCGGCCACGCACGCTGGCCCTCCACATGTATATCCAGCATGTGGCCTCCAGATGTCCCACGCGTGACAGCCACGTGTAACGTGTGCTTCCAGCCTCCTAGTATTGCGTGTACGAGGGCAAGCAGACCTCGCACAACATACAACTAGCAGTGCTTATAACACCATGTCACATCATACCATTACCGCATATCATCGCCACCTAGCTATCGCACCAGACTGCCTGGCATATCAATGTCATGGCACATCGCCTAGCACATCACATTCATAACCGTATAACTGTAACACAGCATAACAGCAGGTGTCATTCAAATCGGACAGGTAGTATGCCATCAGCATTATCATGCCATGTCATGATAATACCGCGAAGTGGCACTTCATAGGACAGCGCTATCATAGTATTGTGTGTCAACACGTATCGAGTCATTCACCACAACCTTCGCACCGATTCCAAGCTTCACTCCGCTGTAGAGCTTAGCCCATACAGGCATGGCACACTATCGCACAACAAGTCGCAATCTGGCGTAATAATTCAATGAAGCCCGTGACCCCGAGTACTCTGACGTCCAACGTTATGTTTTCAGGTGGAGACTCGGGGATACACAGATATCTCCATATACATACGTACATACACACATCGTATGTCTATCGCATGGCCTCACTTGTCTTAGGCCTCCCCGTCTTTGTCTTCCTCATACGTCCCTTGTTCTTCCTGCGGCTCTCCTCCTGTGCAGCAGCGAAAGAAGGACGCACACGTACATGAATCCGCGCTGGTTTCGAGAGCACGCACTGCACAAATGTTCGTACAACGCGGCCGGTCTCGCGAATCGAGGGGCCGTGTTCATGTACATATGTCTGTTCATGGGAGCCTTGGGCGGCGACATTGAAATCAGCTTTTCCTGCATGTGGATAGCGTGGGGACTGCATTTGGCCCATCCTCCTGCTCCTCCTCTCCCCTCCTGTTCCCCGTCCCCCTCCTCGTTCTCCTAGCCCCCCACGAATCCAGTCCAAGTCTGGTCCAAATCTGGTCCAAATTTGTTCCGAATCTGGTCCAAATCAGGCCCAAATTGGAAAGTGCCGGGGGCCACGCAGGCTCCCATGGAACGGACACCTGGGCGCGTACGTCCTTCGTGGGCTCCCTACCTTTCAACACGTCCCCTGGCACCCCGTCGTCCGCCCGCCTGCCGCGGGCCAGGGGGCGCGGCGACCCGCCGCCTCCCTGCCCGCTCCTTCCCTGGGCGAAGCCCGAGGCCGAAGACCGCGCGAGTGATGGGCTGGTCTTCCACCACCCACCACCACCGCCCTAAGCTGGATGGGGGAAGGAGGAGGAGGAGGAGGAGGAGGGGGAGGGGGAGGAGGAGGAGGGGGAGGAGGAGGAGGAGGGGGAAGAGGAGGAGGGGGAGGAAGAAGAGGAGGGGGAGGAGGAGGAGGAGAAGAGGAGGAGAGGAGAAGAGGAGAAGAGGAGAGGAGAGGAGGAGAGAGGAGGAGGAGGAGGAGGAGGAGGAAGAACGGAGGGGGTGGAGGAGGAGGAGGAGGAGGAGGAGGAGGAGGAGGAGGACCCCCTTCCCTCTCCTACTTCTGGTGGTGGCGGTGGAAAACAAGCCCACTAGAGAGGGCTCCCGCCCCCTCCCTCTCCTACTTATGGTGGTGGCGGTGGAAAACAAGCCCACTAGAGAGGGCTCGCACTTCTCTGCCGGGGCTGCGAGCCGGACAAGGAGAAGGTACGTACCCCTGTACCGCTACCCTTCCTTCGCTTCCCCCGTCTTGGGCCTCCTGGGAGGCCCTGGTCGCCACCGCCGGCTTCGCCTCGAAGTCCGGGTCAGCACGCACCCAGGGAGAGGCCCGGGGAGTAGCGGTATCGGTGCCGTGCGTCCTCTGTGGGCTCCCTCGCCAGAGAGGAGGAGGAGGAGGAGGAGGAGGAGGAGGAGGAGGAGGAGGAGGAGGAGGAGGAGGAGGAGGAGGAGGAGGAGGAGGAGGAGGAGGAGGAAGGAGGAGGAGGAGGAGGAGGAGGAGGAGGGAGGCACAGGACAGGTCGGACCCCCCTCCCGAGAGCAACGTTGGGAGGGGGCATGCAGCAGGCATATCAGAGAAGCGACCGGCCTGCCAGCAGGGGCCCCGCGGAAATGTCCCCCCCCCCCCCCCATGGCCCCAAGGACCCACAGAAGCTCTGGGGTACCTTAGGACCCTCAAAGATCGACGAAGACTGTGCCCCAAGATCTCTGATGGCAGGATTTCTTGTCGTACGGTCGGGGCCCTGAAGAAGGAACCCTTTTCGTTGGGGAGGGGCTCCGCGTTCCTTAAGTGTTTCGCAGCTTGCCTTGGATTTTCTTCAGGTTTTCGATACGGAATCGAAGTTCAACTCATGGAAAAAAGGGGCCTCATTCCTTATTTTGGGTTCCTTAGGTCAACGCGCCCGACCCTATGTTTCTACTGTGCGCAGAGGGGGGGGGGACGCATCGGCCCCCCAAGCGCACGCCCTGGCCCTGTCCACCACCGCCTGCGCCGGCAACCAAATCAACAATTGCGAAGGGGCCCCAGGACACACAAATAAATACGCACAAATAAAACTACTCCCCATATTTTCACATATGTTCTGGGTTTCTGTCTTCCCGCCCACTTCCCATATATATATATATATATATATACATATATATATATATATATATATATATTCCCATATTTTCTGGGAAATCGAAGATCAATTGTGTCTGTGTGTTTCTTTTCCTCCTGAAATTGCCACGGCGTGCAGATTGATGTGGATCCCACGCCGCCGCGCCGGCCAACGACGACGCTCCCGGGCGGCGCGCCGGGCCCCAGAGACTGGGCAGACCAGGAGCTCCCCTGGATCCCGTGCGTCCGACAAGCCCCGGCCACGCGCAGAGGGGGGTAGGGGGAGGGGGAAGGCTTCTTAGAAGCACCCCTGCTTCTTAGAAGGCGCGGGCCTTGTCTGTAGATACAAGTCAGCGAGCTAAGAACGGTATAAAATAAACTTTTTCGCTGTCGGGGGCGCCTGTCCCTGGGCGGCTGGAAAGTTTATACCCCTACGGTGCCACCGTAAGGGTATAAATTTTCCAGCCGCCCTGGGACAGGCGCCCCCGACAGCGAAAAAGTTTATTTTATACCGTTCTTCTCTCGTTAAACAAGGGCCAGCGCCTTTCAAGAAGCAGCCTCCTTCTCAGATGCCTCCCCCCCTCCCCCTTGCCCCCCCCTGCGCGCCGCCGAAAGCCATCTGCTCGAAGGCCCTTCGGCCCCGAGCACGTCTCGACGCAGGGCTCGCTGGCCGTGCGGGCAGCTCTGCCAGCCCCCCAGTCGCCCAGTTATCGCCGGCAGGGGCCCGATGGCCCGTCACGCCAGGGAACGGGCGGACTTGCTTTCGGGAGCGTCTCGCCGATCTGTAGGGGAACAGGCAATGACATAAATATAAAAACTCGGAGGTCCGCGCGGATTTCTCAGATCTGGCGCGCTCCGCGCGCCAGGGAGGGGGGTCCGGCGCGGATCCAAGATATCCACGCGGACCTCAGAGTTCTTATGCTTATGTCATTTTCCCGCTAGATCTATCGGCGATGCACTGCCGATTCCAGGTCGATGTTCCAACCCCGAGCCGGTCGCCCCTCACGCTTCCCCTTCGGGGACTCAAGAGACGGGGGTCAATGCAAACAGGGATCGGTCAGAGCGCCTGGATCTGGTAGGATCCTGCAGAGCCCGGGGCGCACTGACCCGGGCTTGGGTGCAGGATCCTGCAGGATCCTGCAAGGCCTGACTGACCCGGGTCTGGAGTGACCCGGGTCAGCAGGTCCCCGACCCTTCGTGCTCGCCTGTTCTTTGGTATCGCTCAGACGTGTGCGTGTTTTTTCCTCGGCGAGGAGAATCGAGGAGCATCTTGAAGCATCGTTCGACAAATAATACGCACGAAACCGAACAACGCATGGGGAGTGGACGTCCTAGCGATGGCGAGTGTTGCAGAACTCCAAAAGAGCGTGGGGCACACATGCCGCGCTGCGAGCGCGGTGGCGGACACGACCGAGTCCTTGCTGCATGGATTTACGTTGGACTTGTTGGATGGCTGAGTGTCAGCGGGCGAAGAACGGTATAAAATAATTGTTTTCGCCGTCGGGGACACCTGCCCCAGGGCGGCTGGAAAGTTTATACCCCTACGGTGCCACCGTAAGGGTATATAATCTTTCCAGCCGCCCAGGGACAGGCGCGCCCGACAGCGAAAAAGTTTATGTTATACCGTTCTTCGCCCGCTAAGACATGACCGAGTCCTTGCTGCATGGATTTACGTTGGACTTGTTGGATGGCTGAGTGGGCCGTGTGGCCTTGCCGTGCTTGGAATTCGAACGCCGTTTGCTGCGGCCGAGGAATTCGCCCTCGCTCTGGCACGCTCCAAAATCCAAGGCCCCGTCCCGCCCACCCCTCCCCTAGTCGTGCCCCTTCCCTATTATCGAGTCTACACCCTAGGCGATGCTTAAGAAAACCTAAATTTTCGTCCAGAGTCTCGATTGTTTTTATTTTTACAATGTAAATCTCAAGATTTTGATAGAAGTTCTGGGTTTTATTTAATTTCTGAGACTATGAATTTCTTAACCCATGATTTCTGAAGCATTTCGCAGGGTGTACCCCCGTCCGTCCCCCTCCTTCGGAGCGTGAGTTTGGGCCCTCGCCACTGAGCCACACCATGTCATGCCGGTCGCCCACGCTCCTTCGCGCTCTTGACCTGGTGGCCCGAAGGCGACGATAGGAGCGAATAGCCCAAGGGATGGCATTACACGTATTTGCCCTGAAGCCTCGCCGAAGGCACAGACCATTGGCGCCCATGGACCGTGTGCTGCTCTCCCTTGGGCTGTTCGCCCCCATCTCCGCCCCCGGGCGGCCAGTCTGGTATCGGGCTGGTGTCGGGAGCCCTCCAAGGCGGCGGGGTCGACCCAGGCCACACGCGGGGTGGGTGGGGGGGGCGCGGAGACAGCAATGCTGCGCGGCCTCGGCCACAGGGGTGTCCTTCTCGGGGGAGGGCTCCTCCTCCGCCTCCCCCTCCCCTTCCTACTCCTCCCTCCCCTCGTCCTCCGCCTCCTCTTCCTGGGGGGGAGGGCGGCGCAAGAGTGCGATGATGATGACCGCCGCAGCGACTGAACTCGGAGTTAGATAGAAACCCCACCCTGACAACTCGATGAGCGACTTGCCCCTGTTAGGTTCTCGAGAGGATGTCGCGCCCGCAATGTGTGAAGGCCTGTGCCCGCCGGGTCTGCTTTGTTGGTCGCTTGCACCACACCAACAAGGGTGGTGTGCTAAAGGGGGTTCCGTTCTGTCCAACCCCGATCTCCCCGCGTGCCCCCTCTGAGTGGTCCTGCGAAGGCACCCACCCCCGCCTTTCGGGAGGAGGAGGAGGAGGAGGAGGAGGAGGAGGAGGAGGAGGAGGAGGAGGAGCAGGAGGAGGAGGAGGAGGGGGAGGGGGAGGGGGAGGGGGAGGAGGAGGAGGAGGAGCTTCAGAGGAGTAGGAGATGCCGATACCGAAACATCCTGCTAGTTGCTCTGCTGTTTGTCCCCAGCGCGGGCCGAGACGGTTCGATCTGTCCAGAACATTGGCTGCTTTTTCAGGGCCTCTTCCCCCTCTGCCTCAGAAGAGAGGGCCGATACCGAAACATCCTGCTGTTTGTCCCCAGCGCGGGCCTCGCCACAACGGCTTGGTTCCCTTCGGAGAACTGGTCAGAGCGCGAGAACGGGGGATTCTGGGGTGGCGGTCGTCGCCCTGCCTGCAGACTCAGCCACCAGAGAACGGGGGATTTTCAAGTAGCGGTCTGGGGGCCAACGCGCGGCACGCTTGATTGGTTGAATCACATTGGGCGGCACTGATTGTTTCAATCACTGTCGCGGGTCATTCGCCGCCAAGCACTGTCCCGGCGTTGCCAAGCACAACTACTCGTCGCCAAACAATGTTATGCGCTGCCAACAAATCCACGCAATGGAACGCATGATCATTCAATGCCGAGCAAGACCGACCAACGTCAATCACGACCGATGCCAAGCACAATCACCCAATGCCAAGCACGAGATATCAATGCCAGTTCCCGACGAGCACGCCCGATCAATGCCGCGCACGGCCAAGCAATGCCAAGCACGACCAACCAATACCAAGCAATGCCAGGCACGGGCCACCAGTTGATCACCACTTGGGTGGCTGGCCCACCAGTGGAATTATCCTGGGGGCCGGGTCCACGTACGCACACACACTCACTCTCTCTCTCTCTCTCTCTCTCTCTCTCTCTCCCTCTCACGCACACACACACACCAACACCACACCACCACCACCACCACCATCACCACCACCACCACCACCACCACCACCACCACCACCACCACCACCACCACCACCACCACCACCACCACCACCACCACCACACACTCACGCACGCACAAAAGCCCTGAGTGGAGGGTCTACAATTGGGTGTCCTTGGAGTGGACGGCAGTGGGCCAACCAGACAGTGCACCAGCTTTGGGCCATCCTTGGGGTGGACGGACACCGTCAGTGGACCACTACTGGGTGGTTGGCTTACCAATGGAGTTCCCCTGGGGTGACTGGCCCACCAGCGGACTTCCCCCCGCCCAACAAAAAACGTGCGCGGCGCTAAGGCGAGAATCAGATTTTGGAGAGGATGTGCGCGGCGCTACAGCGAGAGGCCGAAACTGAACAAAAATGTGGCCCCCCAGACCGCCACCCCATAATCCCCCGCCCTCCAGAGCGCACCCCCGAAGTGGTCCAGGGAACAGAGGCATCGGCAATCCAAAAGCTGGAATAGTGACACAGCTCAATCCCTCCAAACGGGAGGGTTTTTGGGGGGGCAGGGGTGTGCAATCCCTCCCACTGGGAAGGGTTTTGTGTCACTCAAAGTCAGCATTCTCTCTCGGATCTGTTTTTTTTTCCGTCGAGTTCGCCTGAGTCGCTTGCCTCCTTCGCTTGCCTCTTCCGTTTGGTCGTTCTGTGTGAGTCTCGACTTTTTGTTTCCGCTCCTACCCCCTTCGTCTTAGTCCTCGCCGTCGACGCCGTCGCCGTCGCAGTCGCCGCCATCGTTGCAACGCTCGTCGCCAACTCAACGCTTGCGCCTCCCAAGTGCCGACGCGCGCGACCAAGCGCCCGGGCCGCGCGCGGCTCGAAGCACGCCATGCGGGACAATTCTCACGATGAGCGGCGATCCGCCTGGAAATGCGGCCCCTCGGGGCGCTCCAAGGGAGGCCGCCGCAGCAACGGCGGCCCATTGGGGGGGGATAGCCAGCCGAGCGGCGCGACGGCTGGGGCGGGCCCGGCGGATGGGGAAGCCGGGATTGGCGCGGCAGCGGCGGCTGGCAGCGGGCGGGCGGCGGGGAGAGCCGCGGGCGGGGCGGGGGCGTCTGGGGCGGGGGGGGGCCGCGGCCGGGGCCGGGGCGGCCGCGACGCCGAGACAGGGGCCGCCGCAGCAGCGGAGGCCGACAGCTGAAAGCTCGGCGGGGCGGCCCGCGGGCCTGCCCCATGGCCTGGGCCCGCCCGACCTGGGCGCCTACATTGGGCCCGCGAGCGAACTGGGCAGCGGGCCCCTGGATTGACGCGTGCGCCGCAATAGGAGGAGGAGGAGGAGGAGGAGGAGGAGGAGGAGGAGGAGGAGGAGGAGGAGGAGGAGGAGGAGGAGGAGGAGGAGGAGGAGGAGGAAGAACCCCCCTCGGACAATGAAAAAATCATGACAGGCTGTTTTTCCTAATCTTCGGCCTCCGGGGGCCCTCACCGGGCCTCGGGAGCGTCAAAAAACGACTCGGGATGCAAAGCCGGTCATGGGGGAAAGGGTCGAGACCTCTGGGGGTCGACGCAATGAAAAAATCACTACGTCGGGGGTCTGGGTGGGCAGCGGGCCCCTGGATTGGCGCGTGCGCCGCAGGAACGGCGGAAGCCCGCCGCGCCGGCGGCGGTCGCTGCACCCTCGCAGCAACCAGCCGGTGCCACCGAAGGGAGGTGAGAGGGGGGCCGGCGGTCTCAGCGGCGGGTCGGGCGTTCCTGTAGGGAGGGTTATCCCAAGGTGGGGGTGGGGAGCGGGCCCAGCTGGATGCTTTCGCGCATCGCGTTCTGCTTCTTCCAGGGGCCGTCCGGGGCGATTTTCCCTCCAACCCCACCTTTGCCCCTGCCCCCACTTCTGCGCCCCCCCGACCGGCGGTTTCGGCGGCGGGGCGGGCGAGGGGGGCGCGACTGGGGCGACGGGCGCAGGATCCGCAGCAGCGGGGCCCGCAGGAGCGGGGGCAGCGGCGGCGGGGCCACTGGAACGAGTGGGCCCCGCAGCAGCGGGGCCCACCGCTGCAGCCCGACTACAGGCGGGGCCCTGAAGAAGGAAGCCTTTTCGTTGGGGAGGGGCTCCGTGTTCCTTAATTGTTTCGCAGCTTGCCTTAGGTTTTCCTTGGGTTTTCGATGTGAAATCGAAGTTAAACTTATGGAAAATAGGGGCCTCGTTCCTTATTTAGGGTTCCTTAGGTCAGCGCCCCGACTGTACGCAACCATAGCCGCCCACCACCTCACCTCGGCACGGCGCGCGTTCCAGCTCGGCGCGCAGGCGATCCGCGAATGGAACGACGACGGCGGCAAATCATGGGGCGAATTGAGCTGCGCGGACATGGCCTCTGCAGCAGCGGGCGCCCGCATCCGCAGCAGCGGAGGCTGCTTCCGCAGCGGCGCGGGCGCCGAGCAGAGCAAGGCGCGCGGGCGCTCGCACTTTCTCGGCGCCCCAGCGCCGCGCGAGGTGGTAAAGCGGGCGCCGCGGTCATCGTCATTCTGGTATTCCCCCTCGCCCTCCCTGTTTCTCTGCTCTCTCCCTCTTTTGTTGCGGTTTCTCTCTCTCTCTCTCTCTCTCTCTCTTTCTCTCTTTCTCTCTTTCTCTCTCTCTCTTTCTCTCTTTCTCTATTTCTCTCTCTCTCTCTCTTTCTGTTTCTCTTTTTTGTTCTCTCTCTCTCTCTCTTTCTCTCTCTCTCTCCCTCTCTCTCTCTCTTTCTCTCTCTCCCTCTCTCTCTCTCTCTTTCTTTCTCTCTCTCTCTCTCTCTACATATCTGTATATATATAAACATATAGTTTCTCTCTCTATGTATACGTATGTATATATCTATATATATATACTCTCTCTTTCTATTCCCGTCTCTGTCTCTGTCTCTTTCGGTTCCGCTCGTTCTGTTGTCCCCTCTCGGGTATAGACTCTCGCGGGTCATCTCTCGCCCCCTCTCTTCCTCTGTACTTCTTGCCTCTGTCCGTTTCCTCCTGCCCCCCTCCTTTCGAAATCGCACCCTTCCCCGTTGGTCAGCGCTTGAGTTCCAAATTCACCCCCGCCCCTATCCGAGCCCCCCCCACTGGGAGGGGGTGGCGATTTTCCAACCGTGTGTTTTTGTTTTGGATTGCCCGTTTCGTCGTTTCCCCGGCGCCCGCCCTCCGCGGCGCGCGGCGGGCGGGAGTCGCCCCGAGAATCCGGAGCGGCGAACGCATCCACATCCGCGCCCTCGCGGCCCAGATTCGAGCGCGGGTTGCCAGGACATCGAGAGCCTTGACGACAGCGCGGGAAGGAGCGCTGAGCAGCGCTGCTGTTCCTGCAACACAATATGGGGCGAGATGGACGCGTGGACAACTTGAAACAACGTGAATCAGCGCTGGAAAAATTAAAAAATAAGGGAGCATGTTTACAAGGAAATGGGGCGAAACGTTCGATGATCGGCGTCAGCCGAGCGGTTTGGGGATTTGCATTCTGCCCGGCCTCTGCCCGCGGCGCCCGGCCGGCCGCTGTCGCGGCTTGCCGGGGCTCGCGGGCCAGCGCGGCAGAGGGCGCGCAGGGCGGCGGCGCGCGGGGGAAAGAGCGGGGCGCGGCGGCGAGAGGAAGGGCGCGATTCGAGTGCAGGGCGCGGCGGCGAGAGGAAGGGCTCCCCGCCCCGCGTTCGTTCGCGTCTGTTCATCCTGCCCATGAGGCGCCCGGCGCGGCGCGCCCGCGCCCGGCGCGGCGCCGGCCCGGGCTCCCCGCCCCCAGATGCTGCGCGACCGATCTTTTTGGGTAGCGGATTGATGCGCGCGTGAGAATGGGTAGCGGACCGGAACGAGAGCAAAATGGGTAGCGCGACCGGTTTTATCATGCGTCAATATGGGTAGCGCAATCATGATGCGGGAAACGCAAAATGGGTAGCGATCAACAATCGCGCGCGCTAGTGTTTGCCCCGCAAAAATGGGTAGCGAAAAATGGGTAGCAACTAAATGCAACGATAACCGTAAGACAAACGTAAGACAAACGTAAGACACACGTTTGTCTTACGTTTGTTGGGTGTGTGTTTTACGTGTGTCTTACTTTTGCATTGCGTTTGTAGGGTTGATATGTTTGCGCTTGCATTGCGTGTGTCGTATGTGTCTTAAATGTAGTTTCCACTTGTTGTCATGAATTTTCTCTTGCGCATGTTTCCGTGTTTCTTATGTTTCGGGACAACCATAATGCGCGCATCTTCCTGAGGGGCACGAAACATGCGAGGGCTCCCCTCGGCCAGGGAAGGCCATGGCGGGGTCGGCGGGGGCGGAAGTAGGCGTGGGAGGTGGGCGGTGGCAATAAGATTGCGAGGCCGACAGTCTTCTCTCCACGAGGTTCGGGTCTCTGCCCCGAACGTTAAACATCCACCTGCGTGGGCACTCCCACAGAACACCTAGAAAGAAGGGCGTGAAATCTCGAAGTCCATCCCCCCCGCGAGCGGAGGGACAGGTTTGCAAAATCTAATCTTTCTCGTTTTCGGTATCCTCTTCGCTTTCGGCATCTCCTCCAACCTCACCCTCTCTCCGCCGTCCCGTTCCTTCTGCCGTCGCTCCCCGTCCCCGCCCTTGACCCCCCCCCCCTCGCGCGCCCTGTTCCTACCCCCCCCCACCCCACTCACCGCTCCCGCCCCATCGCCCTGCTGACTTGTTCCCCACCCGAGTGCCGCGGCGGCAACTGGCGGAGCCACTGATCTACCTTCCAATCCTCCAGCGTTCGCACAGTTTGCGGCTGCACTGCAAGGGCGAAGAGCCAATTTGCACCGTCCCTGCTATTTTTACAACGTGTCGCATGAAATCTTCTGCCATGTAGCACCAAAGCCACCTCGGGTTCAAATACGTGGCGGCTTCTGCAATGTGCCACCACATGTGGTGTTTGTTAACTATGGACCATTTTTTCCTATGTTCATCTGTCATCGAATGCGACGCGAGGGCATGATACATGATGAGCGATGTTTCGACGGCGTCTTGCAACTTTTGTGCAACGGCCGCGTCCAAAAACATCCCAGATGAATCTAAGCAATCGTAGTATGTGCGTAACGATTCGCAACAAAGGGTTCGCATTCTTCTAAGATCAGAACCGTCTTCATAATCCTTGCTCAGTTGACATATCACGGGAGCCAGCCAGCGCTGTTGCGCTGCTTTGATTGCTTTCTTTAAAACGGGGTACTGGCTATGTGGACTTTTCAGATTCGCAATGAAACTGCCCAACCCAAAATGTCCGCCCGCCAGGGGCACCCTAGCTGTCGGGCACGCGGCGTTTCTGCTTCCCCGTTCCGTGCTCCCTTCTCCCCCATCATCAGCGTTCCTTTTCTTGTTGTATTCCCTTTTCCCCACCCGTTTTTCCATCCCCTTCCCCATCCTTGAGTTGACCGCCTCCTTTTACCTATCCTCTCACCCTTTTCCTGAGTGCCTCATACATTTCCCCCCTTTTCCCTTCCCCTCCGCCCTCCTCACCCTCTCCCCCCCTCGCCCAGGGGTCTGTCGGGCGCGCGTCTGCAGGGGTAAGTGATCCTGTGGGGAATGTTCCGTTCGTCGTAAATCTTTCGAATACGTCTCCAGATCACAGCGCACGCCTCTGCAGGTGATTCGTCCCGTTGTTCATATATGATCTCTTTCAGGATATTCCCTAATATATGCGAACACGTTCCTTGATCCACCGTGCGCATTGAATCCAAACAAATTGATTCGCCAGTGACGCCCCACACACGGAACACATGATGTGTAAAAACATATGGCACCCGCCGTCGAAATCGCATCCAGTGCCGAGGGAATTGCTCTTTGATAAAATTATTAAATGGCAGCGTATCTCCGTTCGCTTCGCAAAACCAGCACATCTGCGATTCGTTCGGCCACGGCGTCCCCAGGTGCGAGCTAAAGAATTCCATGTCCCCTGGGGCGACTGGTCGCAACGATAGCCACTTCCACAGACATACACAAACAAAACATACACTTCGACCCCGAATCCGAGGAATGCTGCACCAGAACCGCACATTGAACAGAAAATCTGCAACCCAAAACTTGCCGCAGAATCGATTTTAGACGGGGACCAACGTGGCGTATTCATTGCAACCACAGCCTAGGACGCCGTAAATAAATCCTCTGTATGGCAGCGCAGCTGAACACAAATAGTGGCCAGCTCTCTCGGCATGGCGCGAACCCTCGGCGAAAGGCCTGTTCTTCCAATCCGCCGCCGCGACCAGAGTCGACACCGAGCTGTGAGAGTTGTCGCGCTGTCTCGCCGTGTCTCGCCTTCCATGGCCCCCCTCCACCGCCCGTCGCTTCTATCGCCCTCCCCCCGCCCCCTCCCTCGCAACTCCTGCTCGTTCCTCATTCGGTCGGCGACATTGATATCCGCGACGCTCGTCCGACCAGGGGCGCGCGGCATGGCGAAGCCAGTGAATCTGTAGTTGGGTATTTCCCACTCGCGAGAGAATTAAGCGACCAGGCTATGACGTCCCAAATTTCAAGCCATGTATCCTTGTCGCCATGTGTTTGTTTGGCCTGTATTGAATATGGCCACCCTGTCACAAACATGTTCAACGAACGAGTCGACCCCACAGCGAGCAAACTCGTCCACGAAATGCACATGAGAGAATCGTTCGTCTGCATCTCTGCACCGTCGCCATGTATACGAAGGGGGATCGCGTGGGCACGGGCGTTATTGCTGAGGTGCCATATTGGATGATTCTTCAAACGCGGGTCGTCTTTAGATGCCCCTTCCCAGAATTTCGGCAAGTGGTCTACACCGTAGATCTCATTAAATACTTCGCGATGGGAGTGGAACATAGATGCAAACATCTCGTGGGGAAGCAGCATGCTACATTCGGCCTTCACTATCTTATTAGTCCTGGGCTCTTTACAATGAACATCGAACGTCTCGGGCTCGGGGAGCGCGTTCCCTCGCAGATATTTGGTCGTGAGTTGCTGATGAATGTTTTGCGGGGCCGAGCCCCACGAGCCCATGGCCGCAATGCTAGCCAATTCAGGATCCCTGGCCCCGTCCCTGTGGGCCGCGTGTGCATATTTTTGGAGGTCCGTGCCAAACAATTTTCCCCATGCCCAATCTTTCAATAGTATCGACGATAACGCTGCATATGTCGGGCGGCCTAATTCATCTATCTCATCGCGTTCGCTGGAGTCGGAATCTGGCGGTGTGTCGGGCTCTAGCCGCCTCTTGATGCATCGCCTCATGGCAAAATGCCTGGGCCAAACGGCATCGGGCACCTAGAGCGACCAGCAACGGCTGCGAAACGCACATGGATCCACCCGCGCGGGCCCGAGGCAAGGACTGGGAGATGGGGGAGGGGAGGGGGGGGAGGTGCAAGGGGGAGGAATGGCGGTGGAGAGGAAGGAGAGAGGGGGGATGGTAAAGAGAAGGACGTTGGAAAGCGAGGAGGCCCCCTGAACGCCACATGCAAAGGTTTCAGAGCTTTTTGAAGCCCGTTCGGGGTCTCTGGTGGCCGCTTGGAAGCAATTGTTTCCAATCTATTGGGCCTCGGAGGGATGGGGGCCCGTGGGCGACCTCATGGGGCGATGCCATCTTGGCGGCACGTGTAAAGCGATCGGCGTTGTTTAATTCCCCCTCGGGGTCTCTGCGGGCATCGCGGGGAAGGGGGGGGGGCGCGTGTTGCTCTGTCAGCTGGGCCACCTACCTTCGCGATTATCTTCGCGCCCGCGCGGGGCCGCCGCGGAGCAGGGCAGCCCTCGGGCCCAGGCCGCAGAGCGCGACGCGAGACTACTCTCGCGCCATTGGGGGTGACCGAAATTGTCATGAGCGCTTGGGGGCTGGGAGCCGTTGGGCGGCCTCGCGGGGCCGTTCGTTCTCGGGCAGCGCCTGTGTCGCATTTTCAGGAAACCTTGGGGGGCCTCGCTCCGTTCGCACGTGCTGGCGGGACGAACCGCCATCTCTCCACAACGCACTCGCCCGATCAAACTTGGGCGCGCACAAGTGAAAACAACAAACAATTGAAACGTCAGCTGGCGACGATTCGGCTGGCGCGGCCCCCGTCCGAAACAGACGGGGGAAATCAGTTGTCGAGGATCTTGAGCTGCCTGCCGCTCGCAAACACCCCCTTCATGGACGTGCACGCCTTCCGCATCCCCTCCATCGACGGCGAGGGGTCCGTCTGGTAGTCGCCAAGCTCGTCGTTGCACTTGCGGGCGTCCTTGATCACCTTCGGCGAATCGGGGGGGGGCGATCCAGGAGGGGGGGGGGGGGCGGGGCGAGGTGGGCCAGAGTCGGCGTCGAAATTGCGAAGGTGGATGGATTCTGAAGCACGCCATGTAATTCTTGACGCTTCGCGTATCCCCACCAGCCCATGCAAAACCGATCAGCAGGGGAGTTGGTGAATCAGGGGCGGCAGGGCGCGCGCGGCCGCCTTCGGGAAACCAATGGTCACTCATAACATCCCGCATTGAAGCTTAAGATGGAAACCAGTGCAAGCTACGATGGTGTGTCGATGAGGGGCGGGGGGCGGTTCGGTGACTAGTAATGGCTGCTGCACTGATTTGTATCTTAAGCTCGCGTGCATTCCTAAATTTGGAGCCATCTTGGGGTTCGCTTGGGGTTATCGCGGGGCCCATCTGGAGCCATTTCTTGGGGCTCTCTTGAGGTCCCCTTAGGGCCTTGTTGGGGCCACCTTGGGGCTCTTGCGGGGCGTCGTGGGCCCCCCTTGGGGCGCTTTGGGGGGCATGGGAGGCACCCTGGGGCCGTCTTGGATATTTTCACAACAAAGGGGGCGGGGTAACTCTGACCCCCCCATCGGAAGCTCAACAGTGTACCATTGTGCCCCCTTGGCCCGCTCTCGAGGCGCTCTCGGGGCAAGCTTGGGGCCCGTTTGGGCACCGCTTGAGGCTCGCTTGAACAGTAATGTGGCCATCTTGAAGCCCCAAGAACCCATGGGAGGCCAAATCGCGAGAAGGCAACACCATTGGCGGCCCATGGGTGTTTGAAAGAGGTTGGCATATGGGGGGGGGAGGGGTATTCAGAGGCCTCGGAGAGCACCCGAAACCGTCTGGGGGGCGTCTTGAAGCCTCTTGGACTCGCGTCGGAAGCTATCTTGGCCCATCTGCCACTATCATGGGCCATATCGGGGGCCATATTGCGTTGGGGCCCTCTTGGGCCATCTCAGACGCTGATATGCCCCCCCCCCCCCCACCCACCCCGCCCACCATCCCACCCCAACCCCGCCCCCGTCCAAACGCATGAGGGCGGTAGACCTCCCACGCAGGAGACGGACGGTGGCGGGCAACCGACATGCCCTAGACTACCTGCGCCCAGAGGGCTGGTGGGACCTACAAAAAAAGTAATCGCGGGGCCCTGGGAGCCCCCGGGCTCATGGTCCCAAGAGGGCACGGTGGAGACCGTGGATAGGGAAACCTCTGATGCGGAACCCAGGCTCTGGAAGCCAATTCGAATCATAGCGCGAAGCGGCAACGGGTGCCGCCGCCGCCATCATCGGATAAGGCATCCTCTAAGGTTGTCGTTTTGAGGGCGCGCCTTCTTGGCCTTCTCGAGATCGGGCTTCTTGGCGGTCGGGGTGGCGGCCTTCACGCGGTTCAGCAGGAAATCGATGAACACCTTGGTGCGATGCAATGCTGGACCCCGCCCGCAATGAAGGAACACGAACACAAGACAGCGGGTGATGGGCAGGGTGGGCGAGGGGAGGCGGGTGACGAGGGTAGAGGAAGTGAGGGTGGTCGAGCAGGGGAGGGGAGGGGATCTACGAGGCGGAACTGGAGGGGAGCGAGCAGGGGGGTTGGAGGCGGATAAGGGGAAGAGGAGGGATAAGGTTAGATAAGCAGTTGACGTTGAAATTATTACCAGATGGGATTGTTGAGAATATTGCCAGATTGGCAACATAATCAACGCCCGTTGATTATGTTGCCAATCCTTGGGGCCGTGGCAACACCTACATATACCCCCTCCATTGTTCGACCACCATCGTGCCTTAGATGCCGCATAGAAGCTCTCCATGTCAGCCTTGATCTCGTCGTAATTGCGCATGGGCGAGTGGTCGCCCTCGAGCAGCTGCTTCCAGGTCTTGTCCTTCTTCGTCTTCGTCTTGTCCTTGTGGGGCCGACTGGGATCCCAAGCCCTTTCCTTCCCCCCGTCCCCACTGACCTGGGTTCCTGCGTTCCTGCGTGCCTGGGTTCCTGGGTTCCTGGGTTCCTGGGCTCCTGGCTCCTAATATGTTTGGCTTCCTGGGTGTCATGCTCGTGCCCGCCCGCGGGCGCCTCGTGGGCGCCCCGCGTTGGGCGGGCATGCAAAGGCCCGAGGTTTTGCCTGGCGCCCAAACCCAACAAGATTTCCGATGCGGGTCCTCTCCAGATGGGGGCCCAGGGGGGTAGCCCGATACATCGTCTGAAGATGGTGGTAGCACTCGCCCCACTCCCCCCCCCCCCCTCCTTAACACCCCATCCCGTTTTCCTCGCTCGTAGTCAGCCGCCTTGTTGCAGCCCCCGCGGCATGTGACCCCCCCCCCCCGTTGCTGCTGGCGCAGGAAGGTTCTCATTGCGCTGACGCTTCCCCACCTTTTACCATGTCCCGCCCGATCGGCCAAGATCTGTATACGTGATCATATACCACGGAGGCTGCAATACCACCGACGCCCTCCGGGGGGGGCGAGGACGCGTCGTGGACAGTATAGCCCAAGGGTGCGTGCGTGCGTGCGTGCGCGTGCGTGCGTGTGTGTGTGTGTGTGTGTGCGTGTGTGTGTGTGTGTGCGTGTGTGTGTGCGTGTGCGTGCGCGTGTGCGTGTGCGTGTGCGTGTGCGTGTGCGTGCGTGCGTGCGTGCGTGTGTGTGTGTTTGTGTGTGTGTTTGTGTGTGTTTGTGTGTGTGTTTGTGTGTGTGTGTGCGTGTGCGTGTGCGTGTGCGTGTGCGTGTGGGTGCGCGTGTGGGTTCGCGTGTGCGTGCGTGCGTGCGTGCGTGCGTGCGTGCGTGCGTGCGCGGGGCGGGGTGGGGTGGGGCGGGGTTGGGCGGGGGGCGTCCCTGCACCCTGGCCCACAGGCGCGGTCACCAAACCCACATCCTTGACACCCAGGCCGCGGCCCTGGCCGCGTCCGCGCCCACGGCCAGGCCCCTTCATCGACGTGGTGACCTCGGGCTCCTCGTCGTCCGACACCTGCATGTCGAGCCCCATGTTGTGGTCATCTCCTGCAGGCTTGATCGTCTAGACACGGCGGAAGCGTTGGATCGGGGAACCGTGGATATGGAATCCAGGGCACCGAAGCCACAGGAACTCCAAGTGTGGGTCGGCCGCAGAAATCGTCACTGCCCTCATCAGATAAGGAACCCCACAGCACAGGAAGTCACCTGAACGCATCGCAAATCAGATGTCGCCCGATCTGCCGCTCCTACACGTCGCATTCGATCGCCCCCCCTACCCCGCCGACCCCGTCTCCGCCCTATCCCTCCACCTGTCTCCCTCGCGACCACCCCCCCGCCGTCCCTTCCCCCAGATCCCCACCCCCCCTCCGCTGCGACGCGAGGCGCGGGGGGGGACGGGCGTCGGGGGGAGGGAGGGGGGTGGGGGGTCGGCCGCAGGCGGCGGGGCGAGTGCAAGGAGGGCGACGCGAAGACGACAGGGCGATGGAGGAGGGACAGTTGTCGCCCCGTCCTCGGCGCACGTCGTCAAGCATCCTGGCGCGCTTCAACTGGCCATCGATCTCGTCGAACTCGTCGTTCGAGAGCTTCTTCTGGCCGTGCAGCGACTTCTCGCGATGCCCCCCGAACGACTTCTCGTGGGTGTCCTCCACGTCCAAGAACTGCTTCCGCCGCGGGTGGTTCGGGTCGCGGCGAACCTGGGCTGTCGCGTCGCCGTCGCCGCCATCGTCGCCGCCGCCATCGCCGCCGCTGCCGCCGACAACACCGTCGCTGAAAACTGCGCCGTGTTGGTCGTCACCGCCGTCGTCGCGATCGCTGCCCCCGTCGCCGCCGCCGTCGCTTCGCCAAAGACGATGGCGACGCTGCCGACTGCGACAGTCACAGCGACGACGCCGACGAGGACGGCGACGCCAACGACGGCTATAACGGCATCAATGCGGTTGCATGCACGTCGCAACCTTGATGGTGCCCTCGTCGACCCTCTCCGTCGCCTCCTCCGAGCCGTACTTGTCCACCATCTGCTTCCAGGGCTTCCACGTCTGTTTGCGCGACATCGTCTCCCCGTAGCTGAGCTTCGTCACCATCGTCTTGAACTTCTCGTCCATGTCTGGGTCCTGCTTTGATGTGTTTCAAGGTATACAGTCGGGGCGCTGAAGAAGGGGCCGTTTTCGGTTGGTAGGGGCTCATTTTTTCTTGCGTGGTTTGTATATTGCAGGTTGGGCAAACCGACCGCGTTTCCTATTTAAGGTTAATTGGGTCAACCTCCCGACTGTAAATACCTGGATCACCTGACAAGACAGCCGCTTGCTGCCAGGGGCTGCGATGGTGACACGGGAAGAGGGAGGAGCAGAGAGGTGGAGGGGGGGTGGGAGAGGCTGCAAGGCGAGCGAGAGGGAAACGGGGCAGAGAGTGAGAGGGGATTCGGAATGAGGGAACGAAATGAGCGAGGGAGAGAAGGGGGGGGGGGGAGAGAGAGAGAGAGAGAGAGAGAGAGAGAGAGAGAGAGAGAGAGAGAGAGAGAGAGAGAGAGAGAGAGAGAGAGAGAGAAGAGAGAGAGAGAGAGAGAGAGGAGAGAGAGAGAGAGAGAGGAGAGGGAGAGAGAGAGAGAGAAGAGAGAGAAGAGAGAGAGAGAGAGAGAGAGAGAGAGAGAGAGAGAGAGAGAGAGAGAGAGAGAGAGAGAGAGAGAAAGAGAGAGAGAGAGAGAGGAGGGAGAGGGAGAGAGAGAGAGGGGACACCACGAAAGAAATAGAGAGCGGGGGAACGAGGGGGGATGGGGGGTCGACGCGGGAAGGGGTGTCTGTAGCGGGGTGGGAGAGAAAGAAGCGTGAGGGGCGACGACGGGGAAGGGTGAATTGGTGGAGCAGGGGCAAGGGGCATGGCGCACAGGAAATCCTTGACCCACGCGACGAGGCACTGGAACTTCGCGTCGTTCTTGCCCTGGCGGAGAGCAGTGTTCGAGCTGATGGACTCGAACTGCTCCGTCACGTCGGGCCTGGGCGCTCGAGCCGTCTTGAACTTCCCGTAGAGCGCCCTGATCTCGTCGGGGCTGAAGAGCGCCCTCATCTGCTTGGGGTCGTCGTCGCCATGCTTCCTCTCAGACACTCTCAATGCACGTTAAACCACCCCCCGACTGATGCATTGTGCGCTCCACACCGCCCATGGCTATCATGTATATACTGTGGGGAACTGTGGGAACCACGCCTCTCCCATCCATAACAATACATTGACGCATCTGGCCCCCCCACGCAAACGCTAAGATTTGAAACCTTGTAAGTGATTGTATCATAAACTTAAACACATCTAGATATACCATTATTAGCAAACATCATGGTTGCTAAAACATCTCGACACGATTCAATACGCCGCAGTCCTGAAGATCTCTTGCTTCTCTTCGAGGCTCTTGCCCTCGCACATCTTGACCAGCTCGGCGACCTTCTTCCTGCGAGGGCTCATTTCCGAGCGCTCCTGCCCCAACATCGTCATGCCCCCTGCACGCACCCCCCCTCCTGGATGCGATTGGACGGGGGGGGGGGGAGGGGGGGCATCGCAGCGTCCAAGATGGCACAATATGGCCCCAAGAAGGGCAGCAGAGAGCGCAAGCTGGCCTCCAATATTGCCCAATATAGCGGTCGCGGGGCCAAGATAGCCTCCGACGCGCGTCCAAGATGTCCCAAGACGGCCCCAATGATGGGTTCAAGTGTTGTCCGACGACCTTGATGACCCCTACCAATATGCCAAAATCGTTCAACGACACACGGGAAACCAATGTAGGTTTGCATCCCCGCTCGCTCGCCGCCGATGGGCACTTGGGGCCCCGCGATGGCCTCGAGACGGCCCGAGATAGCCCCAGACGGTGCCCACGCGGGCCCTGAGACGGCCCCACGAGCGCCCAATAGCGATCCAGGAGCGGGCCAAGATGGCCCCAGGATTGCACGCTTCAGCCTCCGATGGGTGGGCGGGTGGGCCAGCAGTAGCGGTGGTTCCCATCTGTTTGAACGAATTGATCATAGGCTGCCCCAAGGGACCACTCAGGCATCCCAAACGATCCACACGCAGGCCCGCATACTTCCCGAAATAGATCGCCAACATACGTCCCAATCGACACCCTAGAGGGTTCCAAGACTACCCTGAGATGGCCCCAATACCGCACCAGGGAAGAGCACCAGGCGGGCCTCACGCTGGCCCCAAGAGAACATCAAGGGAGCCCCAATAATGCACCAACATTCGAAGCGCACGCGAGCTTAAGATGCAAACCAGCGCAACATACAGTACGGGACACCGAAACACCACCCCCCCATCGAATCACCATCGGAACTTGCGCTGGCTTTCATCCTAAACTTCAATGCGGTAAATTGCGCGTGATCAGTGCTCCCCCGAATACGACCGCGCGATCAGCAATGCAATGCGTGATACACGCATTTCATTGCTGATTGTTTCTGGATGGGCTGGTGGATAAACGCGAAGCGTCAATAAT